ATCCTGCATAACATCGGCGTACGAGACTCGGGGTCTCCCTGTGCCCAGTAGACTAACACTCACTCCACAAGGAGTGCAACCATAACAGCAGCTTGGGCTACTCAAGCATCTATTGAGATTTACCAGGCTGCCACGTGGTCATCTCCTTCCCCGTTTATCCGTCAGGACTCTTTCCGTCTGCATCTGTGGCTTTTGGCAGGTGGGTACTCCAGCGAGTTTTATTGGAGCAGGCGGAGCAGGACCAGACCTAACATTCCCAGGATATGCCAGCTTTTGGTAAGTCCCACACTAGACTCTCACAGCAGTCTAATGGAGAAGGGATGTTGCTATTGTTACCTGTGAATGTCCTTTCTCATTGGACTGTGAGAGAGTCTAGGCTCACCCTGAAGAGGTCTAGTAGGGGGGGAGAAGGATGTTTTAATATTTTTCAGAACACAAAAGCATCTGTCAAGAATCCTTTTCTGAAAACTGGGGTATCCCTAGCAATGGTGGCAAGATCAATGATTTGGCAGGCTCAGTCATGTGATGAGTAGACAAGGATTACCCACACTAGACTCTCTTTTATTTTTTATAAAAGAGTTTGGGGTTTTTTTCGGACAAACATATACAAACAAGACATCAAAACATAAAGCCATCTTCCAATTACATACATATAGTATGTCAGTTGGTTACAAATTTTTTGTGCATCTTCTCCATAGTCCTCACTTACAATTGTTTGTATATATTCTCATATTCTCATACATATTTCCAAATGCATTTGTTATCATTGTTAATCAATCATTTGACTATACTATTATTCATTCAAGTTATGCAAGATATTCCATATTTTTAAATTGATTTATCTTATAACAATTCATATTATCATCCCAAATCCATCCCATAATTATAATAATACATCTTTATATATTCTATATAGTTCTATTCTCCTTATATTGTAAAATTCTACATATTTTGTTACCATATTTTATTTTCTAACCATTGATAAAATAAATCCCAAATCTTATAGAATTGTTTCTCTTCTTGTTCTCTAATTTCAAATGTCAATTTACACATTTCAGCACATTCCATTATTTTCTTAATAACTTCCTCCTGTGTTGGTATTTTCTCATTTTTCCAATTTTTAACAAATACAATCCTAGCCACTGTTAATACATTTACAATCAAATATTTCAATTCCTTACTGTATATTTCAGGTAAAATTCCCAATAAAAATATCTCTGGTTTCAAATTATATGTTTCTTTGTCATTTTTTCCAGCCATGTGTGGATTTTAGTCCAATATCTTTTAGCTTCTGCACATGTCCACCACATAAGGTAATATGAACCATGTATTTGATGGCATTTCCAACGTTTTTCAGATTTGTTCTTGAACATTCTTGCTATTCTTGTTGGGAGTAAATGCTACCTACAAAACATCTTATACAAAATTTCTTTATATGCTGTTGACATTGTCATTTTATAATTTTGAGACCATAGTTTTTGCCATTTCTCTAAATCAATCCCATATTTAAAATTCCACCCCACAAGCAATCATTGTTTCTTTAACTTGTACTTCTTCTAGCTTAATTTCCAATAAATGTCCATATATTTTTTAAATTATCTTTTCATCAGTACCTGTCAAAATTTTATCTAAGTCAGTCAATTTATCATAAAAACCTTCTGTTTTAAAATCTTTATCATATCTAGAACGTATTTGCACATATGAAAACCAATTCATTTTTATACCCTTGTTTTTCTAGTTCTTGTATAGATTTAAGTTCACCCTTTTCATTCAATGTTTCACCATATCTAACTGTTTGTTCCTTTTTAAATGTTATTAGATAAGAAAAAGCTTCATTGGCCAATAACCAGACTGGATTTTTTAAATAGGATTGCTTTTTTGTCTTCTCCCAGTTTAATAACAAAGCCTCATGTATGTAATGTCTTCTAAAATAACCCTGTTTTTTAGTTCCCTTGTACCATAGAAAAGCATGCCACCCCAACAACAGATCATGTCCTTCTAATGTCAATAATCTAGTATTTCTTAGTGTTATCCATTCCTTAACCCACATCAGGTTTGTTGCTTGATAATATAACTCCCAGCTGGGCAGGCCAAATCCACCTCTCATTCTAGCATCTTGCAACAGTTTTAATTTTATTCTCGCTTTCTTTCCCTGCCATATATACAACATTATTCTATTTAAATCTTCATAGTAATCTTTCCCTACCCTAATTGGAATTGTCTGAAACAGATATAAAATTCTAGGTAATATATTCATCTTAATTATTGATATTCTCCCAATTAATGATAGTTGTAAATTTTCCCATTTTGCCAAATATGTCGCAATCTGTTGTTTGAGTTTAAGATAGTTATTCTCTTTAAGTGTACTACATCTTGCTGTCAGATATATCCCCAAGTACTTAACCTTATTTGTGACCTGGATCTTCAAAGCGGCCGCCAATTCTTCCTTTTGTTTTACTAACATATTCTTTGTCAAAATCTTCATTTTATCTTTATTTATTTTCAAACCAGCTACTTTTCCATATGCCTCTATCTTTTCTATCAATTTGAGTGCTGTTTCTAGCCACACTAGACTCTCTTGCAGTCCAACGAGAAAGGATGTTCACAGGTAACTATAACAACGCCCCTTTTCCATTAAAAGAACTAAACAAAAATGTAGCACACAGAAAAATAATCTTTGTTAAGTAATGATTATAGTCTTGGAAAAGCAAGGTGGACCAATGTCTCATGAATAAATAATGAGAGTAAATTAATTGCTATAGATTGTCCTTATTTATCTTTATTAACAGACTTTCTCATTCAGTTTCAAGATGGAAATTGCTCAAAGAATGTATAGTTGTTACAGATATGGTTAGTAACTAGGACTAATGGTGTCTGCCAATTACAGTCGTGAGTAATAACCACTGTAAAGTGGGTCTTCACATGACTTCCCCATTTTACAACCTTTTTACTGCTGGTGTTAGTCTTTAAGTGAACCCATTGTTCACTCTGGTGTTTTGACAAAAGCCTGGAAGTAAATAGCAGTTTTGGGCAAAATTGTACATAACAGTACAATTGCTGTTCTTACAGGATATAATTCCTGTAAGAATTGCCTTAAGAAAGTGAATACTCTTGAAGTATTTCAAAAGGAATCTTTTATTAAGCAGAAGTGAAAGCAATACATTCAAAGCAACGTCTGAATACCCTTAGGCAAGACAAGCATTAGAAACCCCTCCTTTTAGCCACATGCGGATTCAGCCAATCCACAGGTGTGAAGATGTTATTCTACTGGCCATTGAGAAACAGATACGCATATATTCCCATGGCCATCTTTCTCTGGCTTTCAAAGTGAAACAAGTTACGTGGCCTTCCCCCCTACCACATTCCCCAAGAGGTGAGATTATCTCAGGATGCTTCAGCACGAGGATAAAAGTGATAAAATATCAGTTGTCTCAGGCAATAGTAATGAATCAATTCAGGGCCCCCTTTCTCCCAATTCAATGGCAGTATCACTTTTAGAGATCTGACAATTCCACAGTGTGTATGCACAGCAGAAGCCTTGCCTTTTCCATAGCATTGTTAAAATGAGCATCACAAGGCCATGGCAAAATGAAGTAACCATTCATTGCAGAATGTACTGAAGAAGATATATTTTTTCAAATAGTTTTAACTCCCAAGTTCCACAAAATAACTACACTTCCTAGAAATACACCAAATACTACAGGTAGTCCTTGACTTACAACAGTTAATTTAGTGGCTATTTGAAATTAAACAGGATTTTAAAAAGTGACTTATGACAGTTTTTCACACTTTTGACCATTACAGCATCTCATTTTTATTATTTATAGTCTTAAAGCCTGCTAATACCCCAGATTCTTTTAATTTACCCATTATCATACCAAGTACCTTTAAAGGATCTTCCAAAACCAATACCAAGTCATCTGGAAAGATTCTTTTAATTTGCCCATTATCATACCAAGTACCTTTAAAGGATCTTCTAAAACCAATACCAAGTCATCTGGAAAAGCTTTTAAGTTCTAGGTCTCTTTTAAAATTTTAATTCCATAAACAGAAGAGGGGCAATAGATAACTCTATCCTGTTCCTTTTTTGTACAGATAGTCATTGACTTACAGCAGTTCATTTAGTGACTGTTCAAAGTTACAACTTACGATACTGTTTCACTTTTGACCATTGCAGCATCCTCATGGTTGTATGATCAAAGAGTCATGTGATCACATTTTGCTACCTTCTGACAAGCAAAGTCAATGGGAAGCCAGCTTTACTTAATAACTGTGTTACTACCTTAAAATTTTCAGTGATTCACTTAACTGTGGGAAGAAAAGTTGTTAAATGTGGCAAAACTCACATTACAAATGTTTCACTTAACAACAGAAATGTTGGACTGAATTGTGGTCATAAGGCAAGGACTAACTATATTTTTAAAGAATAATGGCTATGTTCTCTTACTCCATCTTGACCATGGCACAAAAGAGCTACAGATGAAAGTAATTCCAAATTTTGCATGTTAAATCATTTTATGTTCAGTTTTCATTTGATATAACAATGAAGCACAGGGCCAGAATGCAAAATATAATTGGATATTTTCAGTTGCAATTAAACCCTCTTTGATTCAGTCATGATGATATACAAAATGATATACACATGATATATAAAATATCAGAAACTGAGATCATAGAATTCCAGACAGTTTTATTAGTCTGCAGATGGGCTAGCATGTTTAAATTACAATGTTATAATTGTTATGTTTTTAATCTTATATAAATTAAAGATGTATGTATTCAACAAATAAAACATTATCTTGGCAATTTAATACCTCCAGCTCATTTCTGATCAACCCCAGAATAAGTGGTAAGGAAATATTTAATCCTGTTTGCATCTATTGACTATAACTGGCAAATTTCCTTAGCATTGTTCTCATTAGGAGGCCACAGATGTAACTAATGTAACTAAATTATTACATTATATGAACAAGAATCTTACCCCAAATTTCTTTTTTCAGATTTTTTGAATACATATATCTTTATAAGGATGCAGTGATGTATCAGATTGAACAACTGACAAAGCTATGTTCCAAGATTTCTTTGAGTGAGCCTTGGGATCCTTATGACATTCCTGACAACTCAACTTATGAAGATCAGTACTACATCGGGGGACCAGATGATAAAATTATGGTCCAGGAATGGTCTGACAGGAAGCCAGCTAGGAAATGTAAATATATTATTATTTTCTAATCCTAACTGAGATCATTTGTCCCTATGTGAACAGCATCCTCATATTGTTATCATTGTTATGTGATTATCAGAAAATATACAAGAAATATGCTAAATATATTTTATGTTCTCATTTCTTATAAGTATTGACAAATTCAAATATGGATTTAAAAAATATTTTCTAGTCTTAATTTTGGATATATCCCTAGATTTCAGTTTAAAAATCAAATAACCTGCTAGCAGGACACCTACAAAACATAACATTGTTTCTCCTAGACTTGCAAAATGTTTAGAGTTTAGTTAACCTAATTCATAGGATGGGAAACGTGACTTGCCAGATGCTGTCTTCCGTTTTACAATATGCAGGCCAAAATACAATTATTCTTAAAAATTCTCCAAATTGACTAATATACTTATCCAATTATAAAAACTTGAGTAGCCCATTCTTACATTTATTCAAGCATAAATGTCTCAGTATTAAAGCATTAGCCAGTAGATTTTGAACAGATCTGGATAAATAAAACACTCAAGTTTGTAATGGTAGTCAGTTTGATGTAGTTTTAATGCACCAGGTTAGAAACTTCTAGTCCCTCTTTAGGCTTAAAGCTAACTGGGTGACCTTGGCCAGTCATTCTCTCAGCCTTAGCAAGGAGGCAATGGCAAATCTCTTCCAAAATTGCCAAGGAAACTACAGAGATTTTCCCAGACACTACCAGGAATCAACACTGACTTGAAAACGTTAAAAAAATGATTGAAAGAGACTAGTATTTGTGGCTTGTATTTATTTAGTGATGCTCATACCAACTTTCCACTATTGTGTTAACTCTGAAATCAATCACTGCAGAGTAATTGCACTGAAACCGATGAAACCAATTCCTACAGTTAGTGCTTTTAAGGATTGCATTAATCCTTCCTTTATGGTCAAGAAAACTGAAATTGTTTTTTTATTATCTTATTATAATTGACTTTGAAAACTCAAAATCATGCTTTTCTCTAAAATCAGTAAGAATTTATGCTTCTTTCATTACAGTTGAAAATTGGGTGGGAGTTTACACAATCAAGGACTGTTATCCAGTTCAGGAAACCTACACCAAGAACTATAGTGTGACAACCTCCACTCGTTTCTTTGACCTCAAGTTTGGGATAAGTGACCCATCTGTTTTCATCCCTCCCAGCACTTGCCAGACAGCTCAATCAGAAAAAATGACTTATGTATGCTGATGGTAGCTCTACAGTACATATGTAAGCTTGATATGTATTATTAATAACTAGCTGCTAATGTCTAATATGACTGTTGCACTTTGCAGATGCAGGTTCTAACAGAAAAGAAATGGAATAAACTCATATCTTTTGAGGCTTGTTATTCTAAATGTGATCTCATATCCTACAACTGTAAGCAAATGATCATTCATATTTATTTGTTTTAGTTGCTAATATCCTCTGGCGAAGCTTTTTTTGTTTTTTCAATATATTTCTAAAAGCATATTAAAATATGAAATGTGTTAATTTTAGAGAGCTGGGGAAAACTACATTACATATACCAGATCAGGTGTTACCATAAAATGGCACCCAAAGGTGCTTTTTCAAGAGGCAACTGGACTTTCTTGTTTTTCTTTGAAGACATTTTGCTTTTAATTTAAAAAGCTTCAGATCTGACTGATTGGTAGAGAATGGAAGAATTTATGCTCCTTGTAGAGCATAGATTGGTCATTTGCATTTTTTTAGAGTCATTGAGGCCACTTGGAGGTTTATCTGTGTTCTCAGGGTCATCTGAGTACTGCAAATAGATGTGGAGTCTTCTTAGAATTGCTAAAAGAACTGTGTTGTACACTGGAAATAGATGTTATATCCCCCCCACCTCTATTGAGAGTGGGCTGTTAAATTTTGACATGGATGGCCTCTTTGACCCCTCTTTCAAACCAGTAGTCCTCTCTATCCAAAATGTGGATAGAAAAAAAAGAAAAACATTTTCAAGGTGCCTCTTGAAAAAGTACCTATGGGATGTTGGAAGTTGTGATTCCCGTCTTCTAGGAAAGCGTTAGAAGAAAGGAAGAGGTGAAAACACAAGCAGGGTCAGCTCCATCAGCCCCCACCCTTTGTCAAGTAGGGCTATTAAAATATCTGGAGCCAGCTTACTTTTCACAACAAAGGAAGGAGAAAATTACAGGCATGAGATACAGAGAAAAAGAGCCCTACAAACTAGCTAAGATCCTTTCCCATAGAAATCAAATAGATGGCAAGCTATAAAACTTGTGAAAAGCAAATCAAAAGGCATAACAGGAAACTCAGGATATTGCAACCTAATGCAACAAACAGCTACTGTAAAACAATTACCAAGATCCCAGGAAGAGATCCCAATATCAAAAGAAAGGAACTCATCACACACACACACAAATCAAAGACTTCAAAGGTTCACACTTACAAAATCAAAGGATCTGAAGGGTATAAAGGAGATTCTCTACTCACAAGATTCGATTAATCCTAGGAACGCTGTGAGATTTCTTACTTGCCTTCCTATTAATAAACTGATTCTGACTTTCAACGCAGCTGACCAAATCATTTTGCATTTCTCCCAGCCAGGAAATTTGAATCTACAAAAGGAAAGAACTTTGCCTATTACAAAAGGGCAGTGTTTTCTTTTTCCTTTCCTCGGGGACAACCATAACCTGGATGACTGAGAATCTCCAAGCCATAATATGGCACATTATAGCAAAGTGCTATAGTGAATGAATAATCCTCTTATTTATTTATTAAATAGATTTATATGGTAGCCCAACTTGCACATGATGACTCCAAGTACAATACATTATTAAAAAACAACAATATAAAAACTAAGTGCTGTATCAAAGCACATTAATAGAAAGTTATGTGGAAGGGAAAAGTGTGGAAGAAAAAGGTGCACAAGCAGCAGGGATGACCGCAGCCTGGAGAATATTGTCCGGAAAAGGCCATTTAAAAGTGTTGTGGACTTTCACAAGGAGTGGACTGAGGCTGGAGTCAGTGCATCAAGAGCCACCACACACAGACGGATCCTGGACATGGGCTTCAAATGTCGTATTCCTCTTGTCAACCCGCTCCTGAACAACAAACGTCAGAAGCGTCTTACCTGGGCTAAAGAAAAACAGAACTGGTCTGTTGCTCAGTGGTCCAAGATCCTCTTTTCTGATGAGAGCAACTTTTTGCATCTCATTTGGAAACCAAGGACCCAGAGTCTGGAGGAAGAATGGAGAGGCACACCCTGCAAGATGCTTGAAGCCAGTGTGAAGTTTCCACAGTCTGTTGATTTGGGGAGCCATGTCATCTGCTGGTGTTGGTCCATTAAGTCTAGGTTCATTAAGTTGGTGCTTCATTAAGTCTAGGTTCAACACAGCCATCTACCAGGAGATTTTGGAGCACTTCATGCTTCCTTCCACAGATGAGCTTTATCGGGATGCTGACTTTATTTTTCAGCAGCACTTAGCACCTGCCCACACTGCCAAAAGCACCAAAACCTGGTTCAATGACTGTGGGGTTACTGTGCTTGATTGGCCAGCAAACCCGTCTGACCTGCAGCCCATAGAGAATCTATGGGGCATTGCCAAGAGAAAGATGAGAGACATGAGACCGAACAATGCAGAAGAGCTGAAGGCCGCTATTGAAGCATCCCGGTCTTCCATAACACCTCAGCTGTGCCACAGACTGATAGCTTCCATGCCATGCTGCATTGAGGCAGTAATTGCTGCAAAAGGGGCCCAAACCAAGTTCTGAATACATATGCATGCTTATACTTTTCAGAGGTCTGATATTCTATGTACAATCCTTGTTTTATTGATTGCATGTAATATTCTAATTTTCTGAGATTGTGGATTTGGGGCTTCATGAGCTGTAAGCCATAATCATCACAATTATGACAAATCACAGCTTGAACTATCTTGCTTTGCATGTAGTGAGTCTATCTTATATATTAGGTTCACCTTTTAAGTTGCATTACTGAAATAAATGAACTTTTGCACGATATTCTAATTTTTCGAGTTTCACCTGTATGTTAACAAAGAATAAAGCAGTCTCAAGTGATGATTAGAAATTTAATTTTAATTTCCCCATAACTATTTTTTCAATAATTGGTCAGGTATTCTTGGTATTCCTTCTACTCTGGTGTACTTCTTTATTAATTTATTGTTGGAACAACTAATTTTATTGTGAGTTTTGTTTACATGCTATTTTTATTTTTACTATAAATATTAAATATATGTGGGAAAATCTTGTGCTTGCAGAAAACAATGAAACGAAAAGGGGGCTATACATATAAATGTCTTTACAAATAATTGGAGTCTGTACTGAATTTGTAATTAGAAAAGCCTTTGGCTTTCACTCAACTTGTACAGCTGGAGACAAGGTGTTCATATTCATTGTAATTTTGTGAATTTGTCATATACAGGTAGAATGTATAAAAGTGGGAAATAACCACATTATTTCTAGGGCCACAGAGATAAAAGGATTGTCACTTTATTTACATCTGGAGCAGTCATAAAAATATGAATTTAATACAGGGGTACGAATATTTTATATTAGAACTGTGCATGCATTCATAAGTATTGTTTTGTGCCTTATGAAATCACTACAACACTGCTATTAATTAAAACAACTTCATCTGTTGTTTTGCTTTAAGAGTTTCTTGAATTACTCAACTTCTGAAAACAATGGCATCATTTTTAGACTTTTGTGAAAGATGGAAGAAAAACATGACTAATTAGGGGAAAATGTACTCTTGTTGAGTGAAACTCAAAGCTCAAAGAACAAGTTTTGAAGAATGCCAGCTCTATTACGAAATACTGGGCACTTTAAAGCAGGGGTCCCCAACCACCGGTCCCCGAACCGGGACCGGTCCATGGATCATTTTCTACCGGGCCGCCGGTTTGCTGGGCGCCACCATCTTGTTTTGTCACAGACATGATATTCTTCCGACTAAAATCGGAATTCTGATTTTTGGGGGAATCAGCCCTGCCCCACCCTTCCTTCTCCTCCTTCCCCTCCCCTCGGAGGCCCCCTGCATCAGGAGTTGCTACTGCCTGGCGCGGCTCCACACGGCTCCAGTCCCGCGTTGCCTCGGGAAGGGAAAAGCAAAAACGAAGAGCCGCGGCGGCATTTTGCAAAGAGGACTGGCAAAGGTGAAGCGGTTTTGCAAACGATTCCTGGCCGCCCACGGTTTTTGCCCGGGAAGCCCGTTCTCATGAGTTTAAAAGGCTCAAGTAATAATACACCTTTCTCTCCCCCCATCCCCCCAATGGAGTGCGCTTCAGACACTCTCACTCTTTCAAAAGTGTGAGGCGAAAGTCAGTTGCAGGAAAAACCGAGCCAAGGAGCGGGGACACAAGTCACAACCGCAAGGCTAGTGGCAGGCGGAGTGGGGGGAAAGAAGACTATTATTCCTGTTATTCTCGCTCTGTGGGAATAGTGAGTGGGTGTTCTGTGTGTGGGCGTGTGCGTGCGCTGATGCCGGGTGAGAGCTGCCTTTGGGGTTATAGACCTGCCGCTTCTCGCCGAACTACCTGCGCCAGACGCAAAAAAGTTTTCCGTGGGGAGGAAAGTGGACCCACGTCACACCCCGGGTCTCTTCTCCCTCCCCTCCCCCCCAGCTGCCAGGTGCCTGCGTGATCAGCCTGGAGGAGCCCTGCCTCCTTTCGCCCGCAGGTAGGATGATTGTGTGATAAAGCTTTCAAATTTTCAGAAAATAATATTCTTTTGAACAACGTACTCAAACCCTGGAATTTGAGTTGTCATGCGTGCATTTGACTTGCAGCTTGTCATGCGTGCTGATGCCGGTACCGGGCTGCGGATCATTTTGTGATGCCGATACCGAGCCGTGGCAAAAAAAAGGTTGGGGGCCACTGCTTTAAAGGATAATGAGCAGCATTGCAATTACCTGCTTTAGGGAGTTGGCAGCTTATTAACATTAAAAGTTGAGGGAAAATGAAAATATATTTACTTCAATCAATTTTACTTAGCTTTTTGTTATCCAGAGGATAAGAATAAAAATTAAACAAAAGACCAATATTGTGGAAAGAGTTAAAGAAAATAAGGCTATTATATTTATTTCAAACAATCCCAATAAAAGTGGGAAAAATACTTTGAGGAATTAAATAAGATAATACTAAGATGTATTTGGTTAGGAAAGAAAACAAGAATAGATCTGAAAATGCTACAAGACTCCAAAAAAAAGAGGAGGCTTTGGACTGCTGGATTGGAAATTGTACTACCAGGCCTCAGTATTAACTTGGGTAAAAGAATGGATTAATTTGAGACATAAAAGACTATTAATTTTAGAAGGGCACGACCTTCAATTAGTTGGCATGCTTTCCTATGGTATGGGAAGAAC